CTCAGCATAACAGCATGTGGAGCTAGATTGCATGAATGTTCCCAGAGCCACTCATGAATCACACAGAGAAAGGCACCAGAAACAAATCCCGCCCAACTCCCAGCACTGTATCTCAGGAATATACCATCTTGCACTGCTCCAGATGAGCAGTGCAAATTTATTAATTGCTTCACCACTTCATCAATGGAAAGTGGATATACACCAGCCTTTGCAAAACCCTAGCAGATTTGCAAACTCACTGGTAAAGATAAACAGTAAAACAAATGTATTGACTACAAAAGATAGATTTTAAGTGACTATAAGTGTTAGGCAAAAAGTCAGAGTTAGTTACCAAAAGAAATAAAATCTAAGCAGGCAGTCTAAACTCTCAACCCTATTAGACTGGGTAACATCTAGATTAAGCAGTTTTTCTCACCCCACTGGATATTGCAGTTCATAGTACACAGATTTCACCCTTGAAATCTGGGCCAGTCCCCTCATCTTAAGTCTTCTCAGTGTCCTTGTTGCTTGCAGCATGGGTGGGGGAAGGAGAAAGGCGAGGCATGGGCCTGCTCTGTTCTGTTTTATACCCTCAGTCCATGTGTTTGGGGAACACACAAGTCCAGGCATGTCTGGGGGGCATTGCTGAGTCCCCAGGCAAGGTTGAGCAATTCCCCTAGTTTGGCCTCATGCAGGTGAGTCATTGAATTGTAGCTCCCTTGCTGGACAATGGTTGTTGATGGGTTGTTTGACACCCTGGGCGTTAGTTACTTTCCTTGCTGTTGCCTCTGGGGAGCTAATATCTGGCTGATTCCCTAACTTACAGAACTTACAGCATGTTTTAGTGACAACCATACAACACAATTCTCATAACTTCATATGCATTAATGATATACATATATGGATGGAGAAATGACTTTCAGCAGCTCATAACCTTTCCCCTGATACCTTACATGGCCTGCTTTATATGCAAGATCACAATTATATATAAATGAGGAATATGGGGGTTACAGGGTGCTCCCCCAAGGTACAGAATGTCACACCCTGCTATCTAATTACTGCATTAGTTAAACCACAATCCTGATACTGGTTAATAATTCCTAATAGTAATAATACTTGTGCTATGCAATTGCCTCCACAATCCTACAGAAAACTTCAGTGCAAGGGTGTCCAAAATGAATGAGGGAGCCAACTGTGCTCCCTGGAGTATTAAACACTGCCCCATGCCCAACTACTGGTTATCCACACCTGTGCTTTTCAGGAGACTAAAGATTCCAAAGTGCTCAGCTTAAACAATAGAGCTGTTCTTCACCCAGTGTGCACCCAACCATGCTGAGCTTTTCTGAAAATCTGGGGTTTCAGTCTGATCTCCCTCTCTAACTGGGCTGTAGGATGGCTTGGCTTTCATTGCTGGTGATATGTACCAAGCAGATGCTTTTATGTAGCTCATCCTTCATACATGGTTAAAAGAAAGAGATTACACTTAAGAATTTATTTATTTTTTTAAATTACATTTTCATGCAAATAAAGTATGCCTCTCGTGCTCCTAGCAAGTGGCCTGTGGTGTCAAAGTGGTTTAACACCTGCTCTGAATCTGGAATTGGAGTCAGTATCCTCAGAGAGGACCAACCCCCTCTACGGGTAGGATCATTTTTTTCACTGGGGGCAGGGAACATCCAAACTGGACGTCAGACTCCTCACAACTGTGAGAGAGAAACCAACCAGAATTGCCCAGAATGACGGCCGCACAGTCCTTGAGATGCAAAATTCTCCCTGGCCTATAGATTGAATTCCACGAATAGCATTGAGTTCTTGTGAAAGAAAGAAAGAAAGAAAGAAAGAAAGAAAGAAAGAAAGAAAGAAAGAAAAAGAAAGACTCTCCCTTCCAACAGGACAGGTAGAAGTTTAAGCCTCCTGGGGCCAGATCCAGTCTTTCAATTGACTGCAGTGGGTACTGGATCAGGCCTGTGTAGCATAATTGTTAGCATGCCAAAAGAAGATGAGAATCCCAGGCCGAAGTTGCATCCTGCCAGATCAGGACTTTTGAAGAGGAGCTAGCGGCAGAAGGTGAATGATCCAGGCAGTCTGGGACAATACGACTTTCTCCAGGACAAAGGTTTAAATTGTATCCATCTCTTTCTCTCCTATTGTACTTTTGCCCTCCAGGTTGGTTTTTTTTGTTTTTTGTTTTTTTACAGACTCCTCTGAAACCTTTACGCTTACACATTGAAACAGTTTCTTAAAATAAATAAATCAAGTAAGAGGTGAATTACGTGCTAAATGATTTATGCTTCCCTGCTGTATGCATTATACATCATAAGGCTCAGAAGCCAGAGTTTTTAAAAAAATGTAAAGAAACAGTCTTGTGGATGACTGCTTCCTGATGTGACAGCTTGGTAGGGGAAGGCACAGAGCAGGCAGGGGACCTGTCAAGAAGCTGAACAAGGCAGATGCCTCCATAGGAGGGCAAAGAAAAATCTCAAATCTCAAACAGGGAAACTAAAATAGGAGGAGGCTATTTAGGTTAAACTAAAGGAATTTTTAAAAGAAGATCTTTTCTGGAGTGGGGTAGGGGTTAGAACCTGGAAGGCGGCTTTGGAAGGTCTTAGGAAAGCTACAACGGACTCAGTCCTGCTGCAATTGCAGACAATAAGTGGCTTGGTTTTCTAAAGTGCACCTGACAGGTCCCATTGAAGTCAATGGAAGTAGTGGATGCCCAGAACCTCTGAAGTGTCAGGCCCCAGCAGTTTTATCATTAACTTAAAAGGGAACAGGCCTAATAACCTGGCTACCTTGAAGTCCTGTCTGCAGCTGATGGAAACATGGGATTACCATACTTGATCAGACACCGGGTACATCGGGTCTGGTATCCCACCTGCTGCAGTGGCCAGCAAAGGGTACTTCAGCACGGAGAAAAACCTTGCATAATGCACCTACCCATTGTGTTACATTCTAGTTGATTTATTTTGAAGCTTTCCTCTGCAGCTACAAAAATGGCCACCTACTCTGAGCACACGCTGTCAGATAGGTGTCAAATTCCAGCATGCCATTTAGCAAAAACCAGGGAATAGAGGTGAACAAGCATCCTGAAGATGAAAGGCTCCGCATCCCATTTCTAGCCCCCTAACTCCTGAGCCGTCTGATCCTACTTTCTGCGTCAATCCATCTTATACATTTAATAATTGCAGAAACTATTCGTCAGTTTCAAGATGGATAATTTTATAACACTTGATGCTGAACAAATTCAGACCAGAAATGAACAAATTTTTAAACAACAAGAATAATTAACAATCTGATCAACTTAACAAGGGTCGCAGTGGATTCTCCAAACTGGAAATTTTAAAATCCAGTTCGGATATTTTTCTTATTCAAGCACAGCTATTGGATTTGCAGCTGAAATTAATATAGGGAAATCTTATAGCTTGTGTTTTTCAGGTGGTCAGATGAGACAATCACAATGGTCCCTTCTGGCCTGGGAATCTATGAATATGAAAACCAGCTGATATCACATTGCAATAAGGTCAAGCACAGACATTGAAGTGGGTGTTTTTGATTTCCTGAGGATAAGAAGTAAAGCAATTGTTCACCAGTGATGTTCTGGAGGGTTTAAGAGCTCTACATATTCCCATTTCCCCGGGAATCTCCCCTAGCTAAGTAGCAGCACATATACTCGCAGCAATAACCCAAGATCTGGCTCCCCATTCTGACTCGTATTCCTGGAAAAGTCAATTCCTTTTCAAGACAGCTATTGGCATCCTCCAATGAAGCAAGGTACAGAAGAATCTCTGGGCAAATGGGTCTGTGTTCCAGTTACCCAAGAGAGCGTAAAAGCTACCTCTTTACTTTTAGATAGTGCCTTCCATCCTGACTGACACCAAAGAGCTTTTATATACAAGTAGACGGGGGACCCCCTCACCCTTCACTGAAATGCAGCAGCTGTGTAACTGAGCACAGCAACACAACTGCTAAGGACAGGAAGTGATGAGACTAACACGTCCCACTGGAAATACAAGGAGAATGTAAAGAAAGAGAATGTAATTATCTAATGTGGATATTAAAGTCACCACTACCTATCTATCATATATACCAACTTTCAAAAAGTGCTATGGGAACCTTGATAACCAAAAATGGTCAAGATCTCACTTTTGTGGCTCATCTGAAAACTATGCATGATGGCAGCAACATGCTGGGGGATGTTGGTTCATTATGGCTCAGAAGGAAGGTCACCTACTAGAGTAGCCAACACCACCTCTCATGAGCAGAGTACTGTGGTCCTCAGGTGATGCAGAGCTTGGCCTGGAGTTCCAAAAAAGCCAAACAACCTCCTGCCCCTGACCTCTTCCAGGAGCAGAACCACATCAGTTCCACTGGGCCATAGCTTCCCACTGCTCTGGAGAAGGGTACAAGATTTGACCCTTATGCAGTCAAGAGAGACAGCTGAAATGAAGAATTGTATAGCGATAATAATATCAAACATTGTGCAGGTAAGAACAGGCCATTCAGAACACATCTTTGCAAGAGATGGTAGTTATAATGACATTCTCTTTGCAGACTGGCCGCCTTTTCTTTGTGACTAACTCAGGATATTAAAACTCATATTTCCATAGCTAACTGCAGTGTTTTCTACCAATTCCACACAGTCTCTGGAAGCTAAAAATATGCATCAGAAACAAGTAAGATTAAAGAAAAAGTTACATTTATTTTGTAAAAAGGAGATATATACAAATACTTGGGGTTGCCAAGACAGTGCATGTAAACTATGGCACTTTTGTGTGCCTTCAGGGTGTGCTGATTCTTACTCATGTATCCATGTTAAGTTATTTTAGAATTCCTGCTAAGATATCCCATGAATTTGAGGATGAAGCATGAGTGGGTGTGATGTCTAGTTATTTCCCTACTTAAGGTCCATCACACATTCTCTAGTCTGCGCCTTCAGGTGCGCTGTGCTCTGAACTGCCACGTTGAGGATACCAGAACCTCTTCACACTTTACTTTGACAGATAACCTCTTCATCATCGTCATCGTCTGTGACATTGACGGGAATGTAGCCTCCTTCTCTGGGAAAACACAAGCACCAGCCAGCACCTGTGAAGTCCACTGCTTTGAAGTCTATCACCTCAAGTGCCTTGAAATCAACAGTGTCCAGTCTGCAGTATATGTCGTCAAGCTTTCGCCAATATAACCAGGCCATAACCAGGCCAAGTACCTGCAAGAAACATTCATTGAAAGGGATTAGATTTAGTGTTGTCAACTCTTTATGCAGTTCCTTAAATACAAGAAATTTTTATTTTAAAGGTCTTTTAAACCTGGCCATGTTAATAAATCCTCAGGTCTCATGCTAGGCAGGACTGAGCCTAATCAGAACTTGGATGGGAGATGTCCAGGGAAAACGAAGATGCTGCAGGAAGAGATGTAGGCGGTACTATTCAGCTCTAAGTCTGTACTGAATGTCCCAGCACTACTGTGCTGCTACAGGTGCAGTCTTTTAAACATGCTCTGAAAGTTATCCCCCGACACTTTTTATTTTGCAAGAGGAGGTGCATTAGCCCTCGTGTTCTGGTCAAATTCCAGTAGGGCTTATTCCATTTTGCCTCCTTGAATTTCAGGTGGAGAAACTGCTCTTAAAATGAGCTATTTTGTAAAGCTATTTGTGCATAGCAGCAAACGTGTACGATGGTAAAGTTGGCTGCATTTCAGTGGTAGGTAAATGAGCCCGATATACACAGTATCTAACACACTTTGGGATCCTTCAGTGCTATATAACATTATTACTGCTTCGGTAGGTGAAGGTGCATTAAAAGGAACAAGAATTTGATTTAGTTTGGTGAACATCTCTCTTGGCCTTTTCCAATTTCTCCCTCAGTCACTCAAAAGACTGATTCCCCTTATCTGCTGTGACAGTCCTAAATGCCTACTTGGTTTACATCACATGCACAGACTTGCGGCCTGGGCACAGCAATGATAGCACAAGACAGTCAGGCTCTTATAGGCCCAAGAGAGGAGATGTAACATTTCCAAGGAATCTGTGACAGTTCAACTATAAGGATTTAAGCCAGACAATCTCCGGTGGCTTCTCCAAATGTAGATGAGAAAGTGCAGTAATTTTTGATTGTCATTATTTATGCATCCAAACAAAGCCATCAAAGCAAAAATATCAGCATTACTTGAGTCGATGTTATTGTCCATTTGAGTGAATAAATTCACCAAACTGGTTCAGACCATGAGGTCTGGGATCTTGCCTTCAGCAAAGTCCAATATTAAATACTGCAGAGAAAGGCAAAAAGCCAATACAATATAATGCATCTAGTCAATTGTGTGGCAATATGTATAGGAGAACAAATCTCCTCTTAACCACTGAATGGTATCAGATCATGCTCTGAAGTATGAGATTTGACTAACTTGGCTTTGAGTGGACTATGCCCATAAACAGGAACCAGAAGCTCCCTGGTTCTAATCCTGGCATTGATATTATCCTGCCGGGTGACCTAGGACAAGTCATTTCCCCACTCTCTGCCTCCATTTGCCCATCTGTACAAAGAGGACAGGCAGGAGTCTTAGCAGAAATACATGGTTAATGCTTGAAAAGAACTTCTTTGAGATTCTTGGATGAATGCAAATTACTGAACTGGGGTCCCTGAAGAGTGAAGTTCTCTCTTGATTAGCAGCACAAGCAGTGGCAGCATACGTTCCTCCACAACAGCCTGCTAATTTTTGTTATTCTGGCTCTAGAAAAAAGGTTCCGTTTCAATGGTCTATTCAGTCTTTGGCCTCCCTGCTGAGGTTGCCAGCAGGGGGACACATCCCATTTATTAGAAATGGAACTGAGGCACCAGCTATTTCATGTGGATCAAACAAGAGCCATCATATAGGCTTGTCTTTGCTGCTGATCTGCGATGGATATGAATGAGTGATGTAGATCAGAACTGGATTTGCATCCCTTAGTTAGCAACCTCCTGAGTTAGCTGTAGCCTGATTTTCAGCTCCTGTTAACTGTGGCGTGATGTTTGGGCGCTCAGTTCTTCTGAGGCACTAATTTCTCCATTCTTTCAGGTTTAAGGCCCAGCCTTGATACTCAGTCTCTCAGAGTTGATCTGTTTTAGGTACTTCTATGGCCCCCGTTACTGCCCAACCTTTTACATATTTATTCTCAGGCACCCCTCTGAGATTGGGGGTAGTAGAACTGCCCTCTGTACAGGCGAGAGAATAAATGATGGGCCCAGCATAACACACAAAATCTTTAGTAGGGCATGTGCTTGACCCCTGCTCTCCCAAGTCCCAGGCTAGAGCCCTAACCACTGGACCATCCCTCTGCTCCAAGCAAGGCCCTTAACCTTTCAGCTATCAGCTCAGTTTCTCTGGTAACCACCACACAGCAAATGAAGAAACAATGCAAACCGCCTAATACAAAATTACAAAAACCAAGTTCCCATTAAATTCTCAGCTAGAATAATGGCCTCATTTATATTACACTCTTAAATGGCTTTATCTCATTAATTATAACGCTAGTACCTTGCTAACCAGATTACAGTTAGGTCTGAAATCACAGTATTGTACAGCCACAGTGCACATTATGGGAAGAGTGGCAAATTATTGGATTTTTTACTAAAAACTTTATCATGCCAGAAGGAAAGAGGTGGTTCAGTGTGTTATTTATATGCTGCCATGCAGAGAAACAAAATAATAAAGCATTTTGATCTAAAAAAACTATTTCATTAGCACAAGATTTAAAGTATCACTTTGCGTTCACCTGACATTTTCTTATAAACGGCACAACAGTGGTGATTATGAGCAAAATGCTAGGGAGATAATTTATTAGGGTAAAAACAGGTACAAGACACTATTTACAGAACAGATGATGATAACAGTAATAATCAGAGATTTCCTGGGCTCATTTGGAACATCAGGCGTTCCAGCAAAATCCGGCATGTGGCTTATTTGGTATTAACCCCTCAATTACTCAGATTTCGGAGGATGGCAGTTTCCTTGGAAGAAAAAGGTTTTGGGCCAATTTCAATCTCTGATGCCCACGGGCACAACTGCATTGACTTCAGTACAGAAGGCCCACTGACATGTGAGCTGAATATGGTGTTATGAATCCAAGTACAGTGGAATGACGGACCCTGATGAACAATAATGATGACTGGTGGGCATACCTCAGATGCTTTGGCTTGGTTTGGATAAGCGTTCTAAAGTTGAGATGCTAATCTGAACACTGTCCAAACTCTTGGGTTTGCAAAATTGGAAACCCAACCACAGTAGACACACCTCGTTCATTATATTTTGCTCTGGAACCTTGTGTTTCTTTTAGTTCTTCCAGATCCATGCTCCTGGCTAGAAACAATTCAATTTGAAACATCTTGCTGTGAAACAGAAGAGACTAAGGCCTGGTCCACACTAACCCCCCACTTCGAACTAAGGTACGCAAATTCAGCTACGTTAATAACGTAGCTGAATTTGAAGTACCTTAGTTCAAACTTACCGCGGGTCCAGATGCGGCAGGCAGGGTCCCCCGTCGATGCCGCGTACTCCTCTCGCCAAGCTGGAGTACCGGCGTCGACGGTGAGCACTTCCGGGATCGATCCCAGAAGATCGATTGCTTACGGCCGGACCAGGAAGTAAGTGTAGACCTGCCCTAAGAAGTGCTCTGTAAGCAGTGAAGCCTTCTCTCAGAAGGCTAGGCAGCCTTTGCCTGTGATTCATTGTTTTGAGCCAGATGGGCTCAATTTGGAAATACAAGTGCCTTAAGGACATTGGGATCCATATTTAGATGCTCAAATCACATTAAACAGGCACTGACACATTCAAGTGCCAAGTGAGAATTCCAATATAGAATTCGAATGCATTGTTTGGGTATTTATGTTTGAAAATTGCACTTGCAGTATAACTAGTAGACCAGTCCTAAATTGCTGTGCAGACCCTGCTGCCACATGCTCATGTGCTTAGATGTTTGAAACAAAGGAGCGAGGGCAATCCCTCGAGACCTTTTGCTGTTTATGCAGTGCTATCACCCAAGAGTAGGTCACTCCCATGATATACTACTCTGCAGCTATTACAGTACTGTGATGGGAACACACAGGGCAATGAGTCTAGTGTGCGGAAAGGAACACAATGTTTTGAATTGAATTGAATTGAACTTTTCCGAAGCTTGTGGTGGGAGGAAGGGGTTGACTTGCCCTCTATATAGGCCTCTGTAGGTGATGAATTGTTTTTTAAGTTCTGAATGACCAAAACTGCACTGAGATACAGTGCAGAAAGAGCACACATACCAGCTGGGGCAATGCATTAAGAGGAGTATGTTACTAAGTTACATGGAGTTTATTCTCCCAAGCAATTCACTTCATGCCATGGTGTAGGAGCTTTGTGTAAGATTAAAGCTATATAATCCTATGGTTTAAGATAACCTAATTTGAAGTCCGCAGGGCTTTCCCTATCATTTTGCGAATGCTATTAGCAAACATGTTTTCTTGTAACATTGCTTAAAGGACATTGAAGTGTAAATCAGGAAGTAACCAAACTGCATCTGCCACATTTATTAATTTGAGTCTAACACATTATTGTGGCATATTGTTTTTAGAGCTGAAAAATTATAATAATGATTTATTTGAGTCCTAATCAATCTGTGAAATTGTCTGGAAACTGAGAATGTTAAAAGGAAGAGACAAATGGGGATAAATAGGCCTGGGTGTAATGCACTTTAAATTACACAACAGTTTTGCCATTAAGTAGAATGGAAAATGAGTTTGCCAACAAGAAGCTACACAATTTGCAGACAGACATAACACTAAATTGACTATGGGGTAATAACTAATCAAATCAGTGGTCTCCAGTGAACAGATAAACATTAACAACATCGGATTTATTAATTTCTCTTTGGAAAAAGAAGGGAAGCTCTGCCATTCATGCTAATGGTCCATGCAGGTGATCCGAAAATTATGCTTGAAGTTGACTTGGCCTCTGAGACTGACCAACAATTTTGCACTTCCCATGGAACACTAATACTGATGGAGCCTACAGATGTCTAGTTTTACTTTACAGTTGTTCAATCAGTCACAGAAGTAAGAGAAGGCTATGACCAATTAGGGCACATAGCGCATTCCCCTAACAGTTCAGGATTGTTCGCTACAGCATGCTCTTTGCCGGGTCTAGTTTCAGCCATCCATTGCTGTTGCGTTATTTTATGAATAGCACGCTATGCAACATCTTTTA